CGGGAGGCGGGGTGCGGGGTGCGGGGAGCGGCCACGCCCCCTCCCCGCTCCCGGAATTGCGCGTCCGCAGCCCGGCCAAGTACAGGCATAAGCTGCGGTCCAGAGCGTCCAAATTAGAGCCTGGCCTAGCTGAAGGTCGAGGGAGAGGGGATGAGACCCCTCCTGTTCCTCCAGGGCTGGTTCTGAGGTGCACCCTTCACCCCAAGCCTGCCACAGAGCTCGGAGCCAGAAGCGATGTGTGTGCTTCCACTTGCTGAGTTGCAGCAGGACAGAGGTGAGGGTGGGGCCCAGGAAATGAGGCTGGAGCCAGGCCAGGCCCCCCCACACCTGCACGGTCCACACATATCCGTCCTAGCAAGGCAGACCTGGGACCCCCTCCAGGCCAAATACGGACTCCCATAGACCAGTAAGAGGGTTTCTGGGTCTCCAGCCAAATAAATCCCCCTTGAAGAGTCTGAAAGCTGAGGTCTGAGTGTCCTGGGAATCTCGGACTTTGGCCCAGAGGGGTGTCTGTTCTGTCACCCCCATCTCGCCTTCTTCCAAGGCTCACTCCGCCTGGCTCTGTGGGCTCATTTGGGAACTTGGGATAGGAGGAGACATCTGGTGTGGAAGCACTTGTAGCTTGTGCCAAGTGATGCTCCCCACAAGCTCTTCTACAGGACTGGAGGAACCCCCATTCCAGGTGCCCCTCCCCTGCTGGCCATGGCCTCTCCGTTAAGTGAAACCCCAAAGGCAAGCGTATTTGTTTCAAACAGTCCACACAACAGCTCACCGGTGGTGATGTGTGTATTCAAGCCCTGTCCACACCCCTCCCAGACCAATGCAGCCTGGACAGGGCAGGCTGGTGGATCCCAGGGGGGAGAGAGGCCCTGAACCCCACCTCCCAACTCACCCAGGCAGGCCCTAGGACTCACTCCCTCACAACTTCCAGGGTGTTGGTCCCAGTAGGGACCTTGCCTTGTGGCCTTTGGGACCTGCCTGGCCTTCCCGCCTCTGTGCTGTCTGCTGACCCAGATGTTGGGTGGGGACCAGTTGTGCAAGGGCTGACCATGATCAACATGGAGGCAGGGATGGGCTCTAGCGATGCCTCTTTTTCTTTCCCTGGAAGTTAATTTCTCAAAGGTGTGGGAACACATCTTCAATTTCTCTGTGTGTGGGGGTGTTACTATTTTTATCCCACTTGGCTGTCCCTTAACTTGGCAACCCCAGTCTGGTGACCACAGGGACCCTGGGTCCCCTTGCCCTACTGCTCCTCCACCTCTCCCCCAAGTTCATCAGCAGGGGTGCTGAATGAGGGCTGACAGAGGCCAGGGTGCTAGGGCAGGCGCGAGGCAAGACACAGGCAGCCAGTTAGCTTTCCATCAACTTTTATTATGGGCCCTTGGTCAGGGACTCACAGGCGGCAGACCTCCGCAATGCTCTCCTGGCCCCTCCCTACCCTCCCCCACGAAGGCGCAGATTCATCTGCACGGTGCAGAGGGGCGTGAGGCCGTACTCCCCCAGCTGGTGGTGGTCCTCCATGGGCCTACCCTGGAAACTCAGCCAGAGCAGGTCGGCCAGCACCTTCTCCTGCTCGCACACCTGCGTCTTGAGCTTGGCCACCTTCTGCGTCAGCCGGACCTCATAGGTTCTGCTGCGGCCCTTGTCGTTCCTCACCAGGATGCTCAGGGGGGCGTCGCACTTCTGAACCACCAGCACAACCGTGCTGCCGGAGCGGAGGCCCTGGTGGACCAGGGGAACCCCGTCCTGCAGCACGGTGCTGTTCGACTGGTTGACCAGGTGCTGCTGGAAGGCAGGCACCTGGACCTCCTGGGTAATCAGCTGCTTCAGCTCCGACAGCAGCATGGACTCCCTCAGGGGCACCTGGAACTCCTTGCTCAGCATCTTCACTAGCAGGTACCAGCCCTGTGGAGTCACAAGGAGCTCAGAGTCCCTGGCACCAGTCCTGGGGCCACTACAGGTATGGCACTGGGTCGCAGGGCTAGCTCCTAGGGTCCTAGACACTGCTCCCTCTTCCGAGTCCTCTTCATCCACCAGGAGAGAGACCTCAAGTGCTGGAGACGCACAAGGGGGCATTTCTAGAGGAATGGCCCGCCTCCTACGACCATCACTTGGTCTCCCCTCACTAGCTAAGATGTCCACCAAGGAATTTCAGAATCAGCCACTGGGCAGAACCCGTCTTCCAAGACCCTGACCCTGATATCAGAAGGAGCCCTGTCCCTCCATTACACTTAGGAACCTGGGGAGCTTGAGAGCAGCTCTGCTTGCCTGGCACACAGGGGGAAGAAAAGGGACTGGTGCCCAGCCCACCTGCCCCACCTGTCAACCCGCCTCACCATGGCTGTGAGCTCTGATGCCAGGTCCTCCACAGGCAGTAATGTAGGCAGTGATGGGCTCGCTGCCTCTCAGCTCCAACTCCTTGAGGGTTCTGGTGACTCACCCCTTTAGACTCACTGCTTTTCTGAGCCTGAGCCTCACACGTCAGGGGGTGTGTCTGGGAGCCAGCCTCATCGGCTGCCCAATTCAGCTTCAGTTTCTGTTTCTGTTTCCCAGGGGCTAACCTGGGAGCCAGAGGCAGAAACAAAACCGAATGGCTTTCCACCCACCTAGAGAGGCCAGGGACACAGGGCACCACTCCCCGCCCCAGGAGTGTGCATCCCAAAATCCCAGAAGTGATCAGCTCTTCAGGTCCGTTACAAGGTACCCAGAAGTCATAACAACATGAAGTAATGACAAGAAAGTTTCAGTTTCAGTTTCCATTTACCAACTTGTAACGTCAGTGAGCTTGGAAAATCTTGTCACAGTTAATTCAGAAATAACATAAAATAGTGACAATCCCAACTACCCAGAGAGGGTCACCATTGGTCTAGTACAATATTTGTTCAGATATTTTTTTAAATAAAAGAGATGTACCTTTTATTTTCTACAAAAATGAACTCGACATTATTGAGAAAATGAAAAGACTACCCACCAAAATGGGAGAAAATATTTGCAAATCATATGTCAGATAAGGGTCTAATATCCATAATATATAAAGAAGTCTTACAGCTCAACAAAAAAAATAACTCAATTAAAAATTGGTCAAAGGAATTGAACAGGCTTTTCTCCATAGAAAATACATAAGTGGCCAACAACCTCATGAAAAGACGCTCGGCATCATTGGGCATTAGGGAAATGCAAATTAAAACCACAATGAGAGCCCTGGCTGGTTTGACTCAGTGGTTAGAGAGTCGGCCTGTGGACTAAAGAGTCCCGGGTTCGATTCCAGCCAAGGGCACGGACCTTGGTTGCAGGTTCAATCCCTGCCTCCGGTCAGGGCGCATGCAGGAGGCAACCAATCGATGTGTCTCTCTCACATCAATATCTCTCTCTCCCTCTCCCACTCTCTCTGAAAGCAATTAAAAGATATCCTCTGGTGATGGTTATAAAAACAAACCAACCACACGGAGATGTGGCACCCAGTAGCCTGACTGTAATAATAGTCATCGCAAGAAAACAAGTGTTAGTGAGGACGCAGAGAAAGTGGGGCCTTCATACACTGCCGTTGAGAATGTGCAGTGGTGCAGAGCTTCTGTCAGCGAGATCTCGGGAGGCTCTGAGTGGCGGCTGTTCTGTGCTGCAGCTGTAATTTTGATGTGGTTGTGGGAGGCGGCGGGTGCCACGTTCACCTACGCCACCATCTTGCTGTCTCAGAATGGGACAGTTTTTACTGTGACATTTTGGGCCTCTTTGTCACACGGCAGTAGTAACTGGATAGCTGGGATGCAGGAAGCTCTGGGCCCAGAGAGTGGCCTCTCCCTCCCACTGCCCCACCCTCCCTGTGTTCACTCCTTTCTCCTCCAGCATTTACAGAGGCTCAGTGGCTTTGAGACCTGGCTTTCCATCTGATGAGGGGCTTTTTTGGGAGCCATCAAAGGCCAGCTGTCCTTGGGGGGGTGGGTCAGGGCACAGGGCCACGTAGGTCAGTGTCCAGCTGTGTCCAACTGGCTGTGGGGCCTGCTGGGTTCCCTCCCTGCGCCTCCCTCGCCTGCCCTCACCAGATACTGTGACTTTGAACTAATCCAGTGTTCCCACATTTGGCTCCTGCCACACCCCAGCTCCAGCTCCAGCTCCCCCCCAGACTGGAATGGCCCACTCTTGTCTCAGGCCTTTCTTACACCTCCCTCCCTCCCTCCTTCCCAGCCTCTTCTGATACAGCCAAAGGGGGCCTCCTCCTTGCAGACCTCCCCCTGCCTCCCCTGAGGACCGAGCCCCAACCCCCTGCGTCTTCCCAGGGCCACTTTCCAATCCACGCGCGCCTCCGGGGCGTGGGCGGCCCCGCCGCGGGGAGTGGCAGCTGGGCCTTGAGGCCGTCGGGGGGCGCGCGTAGGGGATCCGAGCGGCCTCCCGCGCACCCTGCGCCCCAGGTGGACCTCAGAAGGGCCGGTTTAGCGCCAGGATCCCGGAGGGGTTCCGGGTGAGACTCGGGGCTTGGCCTTGCCCTAGGGCCAGACTAGGCCCCTGGGAAGGGGCGTGGCAGGCCAGCCGTGACGCCGCCCCT